CACACACACACACACACACACACACACACACACACACACGACAGGTGAGTGTGCACACAAAGACAAATGCACACAATGTAGTTTTTCAAAGGAATTGTATAAACAAACTGTTAGGATTGTAAGCCCATGTCTCTGACCCAAGCATTCAAGTAGTTAAAAGGTCACTAACTGTAAATAAGGAACACATATGTGGTGGAGCAAATGCCATGAGAAAAGAGTGCGTCTTGTAGTTCTAGTCTTGCGTTAAATGGGTGTGTAACCTTCGGGAAATCTTTCTTTCTGTGGAGCTATGTGTGTGTGTGTGTGTGTGTGTGTGTGTGTGTGTGCGCGTGCGCGTGAGTGTGTTTCCCAGATATGAAATTAGGGATTAAAATATCTTCTTTCTTATTGTAAAATCCCTTGATTTTATAATTCTGTGAAACAGAAGATATTACATTCTCCCTGCGTTTCTCCGAAAAGTGGAACAAGGGGATCCAGCAGCTTCTGGCCCTCTTGTCTGTTCTTACCCATAAGGCACCTGTGTTTGCACAGCGTGTTATGGGTTAAGAGCTCAAATTAAGACATCATAAGTTTACATGCAAAGATGTGTGCTGACTGTTGTAGATTCTGCCGGTTTGGAAAATAAAACAGGAAAAGCTGATTAGCTGTGATGGTAGAAGACACTTGAATTTACTTAAATGTATAGAGGGTGTATGTATATTAGTTACTCTTCCCATTTCTGGCAAAGGTAATTTAAAGAATGGCAAGGATATTTTGGCTTGGAATTCAAGTGATAGTCCACCAGGCTGGCAGGTCAAGGCAGCAGGAACTTGAGGCAACAGTCACACCGACTCCATAGTCAGGAAGCAAAGCATCATAGTGCTGGTGTTGAGCCCTCTTTCTCCTCAATATGCAGCCCAGGCCCCACGTCCAAGAGAACACTGCTGCCCACTCCAACTAATCTATCAGAGTCATCCCTCAGAGGCATGGCCAGAGAGTCAGCTAATGCAGTCTCTCACAGGTGTGTTTCCTAGGTGAGTCTGGATCCTGTCAAGCTGACAGTCTAGAGTAAACACCACAGAGGGAGGGTGTTGTGTGTAGGGAAGGCACGAACAGAGCGAGCATGAGTGTTAATAAGCAAAGCAGCATTGGCGATTATGGGGAAGGCTCAGGTAAGACTGGCTTGCCTGTGTAGGAGGATGTCTGAACCGTGAATAGTAACTGCAGGGTCAGAGCAGAGGGGACATTAAAATGCAGGCAAGAACCAGGGCCCATTGAAGTTCCGCCGGTATGGTATTATGGTACAAATAATAGTCAAGAATGACTGGTACAGTGTGAATCCATCCCCTCGATCCATGTAGCATGCAGGCAGCTTTCACGACTTCCTCATTTTGTCACCGTGACACCAATGTTACACCCAGAGTTCAGGGTTCAAATGTTTGTGGGAATCTTATGCCTGCTAAGCCATTTGAGACAGGGATTGAACTAACATCTGTGTGACTTTGGGAAGTCAGAGCCTTCAATCAGGAGGTGTTACTGCACACACTCACCAAGGTGTAAAACGGGCAGCACGATCAGTGGCTGCAGGAATAGAAAAAGAAGACTTAAACTGGGAGGAATTTGTTTTTTTCCTAAAGAACTGCCGGTTGGTCATAGAGGGAAAGAATGAATGCATTCCACACCCAAATGCTGTTCCTGGGCACCTGGGGAAGGTCATGGCGTATGCGATGTGGGTTGTTGGGGACTCGGGCAAACAAGAGACACCACACTAGAAAGACTGGAAAGACAAATGCAAATATGTCTGATTGGGAAATCCTGAGTCTTAGATGTCCTTAGACATCTAAGTAGTAAATAAATAAGGACACATCAGACAGTGAAAGCATGAGAGTGAGGAGGGGGCTGTGAGGACGATCACAGGCTTGAGAGGCAATGCCCAGACTTGGCAGTAAGGCTTGGGCAGAGGAGGGTATTAACGGCCGTGAGCCTACTGTCACTTCAGGTCACCCAAGCTGCTGAGAACACAATATTGGGGTTGATGTTCTCCACATCTGCATTTTTTTTTTTACCTCTGCAAGAGCTGTATTTCAATTTTTAAGTTTTTTGCTTAAAATTTTTGTGACCTTTGGTACGTGAAGTATGTGCCTTCACCTTGACATTGCCTGCCTGCCTTCTCCTGTGAGACCCTAAAAGCTACTGGCTAGAATAGGACAACACAGGCAGAAAAAGAAAAACATAAATCGGACTTACTTAAAACGAAAACCTGTTGTGTGTCCAAAGTTGCCATCTAGAGAGGGAAAAGGCAACTCACGGGAAAAGAAATAGTGCTTGCAAATCATATAAAGGGTTAATCTTCAGATTGTGTAGTTCTAGAATGTTGACAGCTCTGCAGCAACAAGCAATCGGATTCAAACTGGGCAAAAGAAGGTAGACACGGTGGCACCGCCTGTAATCCCAGTACTTAGGAGGTAGGGGCCCGGAATTACCAGTTCAAGTCTAGCCTGGGCTACACAGACTGTGCCTCAAAAATCCATAAAACAAAGAAAAAGGCAATGGGTTTCGGTAAACACTTTTCCAAAGAAGATCCACAAATGAGCTATTAAATATGTGAACAGTTGCTTAATCACTGCTAATTAGAAAATATAAATCAAACAAGTGACACTGCTTCATACCCATTAACATGACCATTTTTTTAAATTGAAAATAATAAATATTGATGAGGAAATAGCGTAATTAGCGCCCACGGCACTGCTGTTGGTAATATAAAATGATATAGATACTGTAGAAACCAGTTTAGTGTTTCATCAGCTAAACAGAGTAGAGTCAGTATGCCTACACACCTGTGTGCACACGCGCGCGCGCACACACACACGTGCACATGTGTGCACACACACAAGATTGTACATGTTGCAGAACAGTGTGTGTTGGAATTTCAATCCCTTTTAAGGATGAATGATACTTGTTGCGTTCATTGGCAGGTAAATACTTAGGTTATTTCTACCTTTTGACTGCCGTGACCAGTGCTGCTGTGGACACTGGTATGCAAGTATCCATTTGAATCCCCGTCTGTAACACTGTTGAATATTATAATAGCAATGGCACTTTTGTCATTAGAAAAAGCCTATGTGCATTCTTACCGAGAGAGAAGATATCTGTCTATCTCGAGAGGCCTTTGATCACTCTGGTGTTTTGCCTGCAGGATGAAGACGAGCTGGACTCGCACACTATGGTGAAGACGAGTTCGGAGAGTGTGGGTACGATGCGGGCCACCAGCACGATGAGTGAAGGAGCCCAGACGATGATCGAGCATAACAGCACTGTGTTAGAGTCAGACCTGGGGACCATGGTCATCAACAGCGAGGCCGAGGAAGAAGAGGACGGAACTATGAAAAGTATGTGTCTGCTTCTCACTGAGCACACACCCTCAGGAATCCAGGTCTGCTTCCTTTTAGAAGTATGAGAAACTTTGGTTTTGAGCTTACTTGACAGCAAAAGGTGGCCTTAAAAAAAGCTTTAATGTTTATATTAAAGTGTACACACACACACACACACATCTTTAACTTAGGGTTATGGGACTTTTTTCTGTTATAAGCTACAAACCCATAATTTAATTTGTGAAATATTTTAAGGAGAGGGTAGTGTTTCTAACATTTACTTTTCCAATTAAGAAAGAAAACTTAAAAATTGGTTCCAATAAATATAATGCAATACTATGGCATGCTGTTTAAATGATTTCTTAAACGAAGAGACGGAAGTGCAAGCTGGAGATGAAACCCTAGGAAGGCTTCCTTGGAGATGCTCACAGAGACGGCTCAGTTCCGTGTGCTTACGGCTGCTTCTGTGGTGTGAAGCATAGAGGTTGTAAATCCTTTCGTGGACTTGCTACCCCATCCTGATCTGCAATCAGCAAGCCGTGCAGGACATAGTGTTGCAGTGACAAGAGAAAGCACATTGACCATGTCTGAAGCTGTTGACTTTTCTTCCCCTTTCTCCTGCTATGTGGTCCTGTATGGTAGGTTACGTTCCACTGCACACTGCTGTTTCCAAATGACAGAGAGGCAGGGACTGACTGGCCTCTGCTGTGATGAGGAGATGGCAGGAGAGTACTCAGGTGATGGATGCTGTGTCTCCTGGAGGTGGGAGGCTACACTTTATTAAAAGAAATAGAGGATATCTCCAGAAATTTTAAGATGTATTTAATCATTTTACTGTATATGTATATGTGGCTGTGAGGGTGTTTTGTGTACTGTGTACATGCAGAACTGAAGTCATGGCTGGTTCTGAGCCTCCTCCATGTGGGAGCTGGGAACTGAACCCTTGTCTTCTGCTAAAGCGGCACCTGATCCTAACTGCTGGGCCTTCTCTCCAGCTCTAAGTCTAGACACTGTAGATTCAGAGATTTAAGTTAAAAATTGTGGATGTTACCAAAACCAATGGACAGGTTGGAAGAGAAGGCTAAATGGGAAGGCTAGGCCCAGGAGTGAGCCTGTGTAGGATCTCTACTGCTGTGTCGGACTCGAGCTGCTGAGCTGCTGTTGCCACTAACACAGACAGAGCCTTACTAGCGCACTGTTGCATTGAGTGTTGAGTAACACAGATGGAGCCCTTACTAGTGCACTATTGTATTCATCTTAAACACCTGTGGTGTTGGTGACTCCATGCCAGGGTGTGTCTGTAAAGATCCTGAGACTCCCTGGACCATGCTTGCTAGAAAGAATTAGCTAAAGGATATGGCCTGTGATTAGTCTTTACTTGCCCTTTTGTGAAATACAGTTTCCCAGAATTCTAGTTGCAAGGAATTCTAGGAAATACAATGTTGGTCCTTACATTTCCAGAGGCTGGTGGCCATGGTTTTTAGTCTCATTCAACCACAGAGCTCAGGAACGAATTCCTCTTATCCAGGGTTTCCTTGGTGTGTGTTCTAGAGCCTGGGCCTCAGCCTTGGCCTGCTCAATATCTTTAGTTAGCTGTAGCTTTTAATTTTAAGATGGAAGTTTATGAAAATTTGCAAATGCCACACACACAGAAAGATCCCAAAAATAGAATCCATGGATTGGAGCAGTTAAGTTGATTTACAAGATAACCTTGGCTCTTCGTCCAAACCACCAATTTCACAAATGTGCACCGAAGCAATTGTCCCTCAGAGATGCTGTTTCTGTGGAGTAAAACAAGGCCTGGGCTTCTCTGTTTAACACAAAAAGAAAAAGAAAAAAAAAAAAAAAACAGGGAAGGAAAACAACAACAAAAACAACAAATGCTCCAAGCACTTCTGAGCTCCAGCCAGGACTAATAATCCCCTTTTAGAAGGAGGAAATAACGGCTTCACTGTGTCTCAGGTGGGAGTTGTCTGGATGTCTGTGCTCAGCTTGTAGCTGGGGTATTTGTCAAGGATGAGCTCTCCCAGCACTCACCTCGAAGAGGCACTAGATGGTGCATTAGGAACAGGTGGAGAAATATCTGGTCAGTTTAGATTTCATAGTACTTTCATTTACATTAACCTTCATGACTGCGCATCAGTCACTAAATTCTAAAATTAAATAATTTTAAGTGATACATATTTAAAAATTTATTCTTATATACTTATATAGCTGATATATATGCATATAAAATATCTATATATTATATATCAGAAATTTATATTGGGCTCCCACCCCCACATAGATACACACACACACACACACACACACACACACACACACACACACGTTTTATCTAATTAGTGAAGGAAAGCACGTGAAGTCCCGCTGTACATTTGGGGAGTTGATTCTGTAGAAGGAGGACACTGACTCAGAAAGGTTTATGAGAAAGACCTAGAGGGGAAGCCTGAGCACTAGCTGGCCCTGCCCCAGCACCCTCTGCTGTCACCAGCAGCACTGTGAAAGGCAGCCTGTCCGAGCATCCACTTCTGAAATATCTGTCTTACAGAAGGGCCAGATATAAATGTATAAATACCTAATGCTATTGAATGCTCATGAAATGAATCTCCCCCCGTAATTACAAAGTCTTGAACCAAAGGAATGAGTCACTAAGAAGCGATTCGTTAGGGCTGGGGAGATGGGTTAGTGAAGAGTGTGCTGTGTGAGCATGAGGATCTGACTTTGATTCCTAACCCTGCTTTAAAAGCCAGGCATGGTGTTGTGCACCCAAAATCCTAGCGTGAGGGAGGTGGGGACAGGAGCATCCTATGGCTGATCAGCCATTCTGTCCAGTCATCGACCTCTAGGCTCAGCAAGAAACCCTCTCTCTTCTGTTTTGGTTGTGAGCCTACACCCTTTAATGGCTGAGCCACCTCTTCAGCCCTAATCAAGTACCTGGGTTCATCGGGCGCACAGAGACTGAACCAACAGCCAGGGAGCCTGCATGGGACTGATCTACCTCTGCATATACGTGACAGTTGTGTAGCTTGGTCTTCTTGTGGGGCTCCTGACTGTGGGAGCCAGGGCTGGCTCTGACTTTGCTGCCTGTTTTTGGGAGCCTTTCCTCCTTAATAGGAGAGGAGGTGCCTAGTCTCACTGAAACTAGATATTCCATGGCTGGTTGACTGGGAGGAAAAGAGGGAGGAGAAACTGTGATTGTCATATAAAAACAAAAGTTAATAAATACAAAAATAATAAAAGAGCCCCTGTCTCAAAATTAAGGTGGGAACTGATTTAAGGAAGACATCTCCCTTCGGCTCCAGAAGTACCATTTTGGCATACACAGATGGGCTGGAGAGGGAGGGAGAGCAGAGAGAAGGGAGAGGAAGAGAATAACTTTGAAGAAAAAACAAAAATAGTAATTATATGCTTCTTTAACTTGTAAGGTCAATTTTGCCAAGAAATGGCAGTAAATATGATAACATGAACCCTCCCTCTCATGCAGCGTGTTGCAGACACCGAGAATATTACTGGGCCATTAGAAACCCCGCATTTTTCTCTGTGGAGGTGGTAGGCATCCCACTGTGTATGGTGTGGTTACAGTAGTCTACAGCTCCCTGTGGGCACTGAACATGCTCTACTTGTCTGTGTGCCCTGGGCCTGGGGTGTCTGATGTAGCGTGAGCTAGCCCAAGACCGTTGGACAGTGTATCTTGGTTGTGTGGTGCCCAGGGCCTGCGGTGTCTGATGTAGCGTGAGCTAGCCCAAGACCGTTGGACAGTGTATCTTGGTTGTGTGGAGTCTGTTTCACTGCTGCAAAGCACCAGCCAAACACAGAAATGCCGGTCTTCCCTGGGCAGTGAGTATCTGCTGAAGGCCTCCAAACAAGGTCTCCATGGACACACAATTGCCATGTTTATTACTCTGTTCCTTTTGTTTAACCCAAAGCTCGGGCTTCAATTTGTCTGTTTCCTCCTATTGCGCCCTTGTTGGAGATGGAAAACAGCTGGCCAGGGTTCTCCACACAAGTGCTTCAAGCACACCCGGGTCTGTCTTGACTGTTCCCAAACCCTCCGCTGGACATTTGGGTCCTGCTGGCCTCTGAGCAGCTGTTCTGTCTGAACGTATCACCTTCCTCATAACTGTGCCCAACCTTCCCTGTGTTCCATGGATCCTCTTTTATTTTAAAATAATGTGTGGTAAAGTTACAGGGAAATGGTGTTAGTAGCTTCTATCCCATCCTGATTGTGTATGTGTTGACTATATTCTTGGCAATTATTAATCAGATAGAGCACTCAAACTTTAAAATACTTGTAGAAGCACAGTGAGGTTATAACCATGAATACCTTTGATGTTTACATACACTGCATCTGAGTTGTTAATTCGTTCTTCATACTTGAGTATCTTTACCACACCATTCTAAGAAATTAAGAAAATCAAGTAAACTGTATCTTGTTAAATTATTTTTAAAAATTTCATATATTTACCTTTTCATGAAGATCTGTTTTCTTAGAAGACATGTGCAAACTAGGAACACTAATGAATTATTACGATGGGTTGACATATTTTACAAAATTATTTTCCATATAATTTAGTATCCTTGTAAATGTTTAAAGGAATGACTGAGATAGAAAACAGCTTTCTCTTTAAAGTTTCACAGGCACAGAGGGAAATGAGTGGCAGTTATTTTTCCTTTGTTGCTAATGGGTTTTTGGTTATATAAGCAAGTGCGTTGAAAGAATTGAGCCAGAATTGAGGGACTAAGTAATTTCAAATATTAAGTTTATTATTATAGTAAAGTGAATTTTAATAAGCTAGGATCGGAATTTAACTGCAGCTGGAGAACTTGATGTCAGTTTTCTGTGGTTATTCTCTCAGTGTTGTAAGACAGTGTTTGCCATAGCAACCACAATCACATATGAATGCCTTCTTCATCCTTGTTGCATAGCCCTAGAGTTCTCATTTCCACCCCTCTCCCTTGACTGCAGGAGAGAAACATCATCCCCTTTGCCCCCTGGAGATCAGCTGTGCCCTCTGGCATACGTTTCCTGTTGTACAGTAAAACATTAACTAGGCACTTGCAGCTACCCCTCCTGTTAACTTCAAAACAAACTTAATTTATTTTCCTCTTTAGAATGTTTAGAAAAACAGCCTAATGGTTTTTGTGTATCACAAAGGCACAGTCTAAATGTCAATAGTGAGTTATAAAGTAAGAATAGAGAATATTTAGATATTCAAGCACATGTATTTGAATAGACATCTACTTATGACATCATCCAAAAAGAAAAATCTGATGGAGCAGACTGCCTTCTTTTGTTTTAGTTGTTTTTTTTTTTTTAGTATGAATGCTAATTTCTGACTTAGTGAATTATTGTCTCGACTTTTTTTAGTAGAAATAGCTGGTATCATTTATTTAATATGTGTGTTAAATGTCTTTTAAGCTTTTGTCTGCACCATTTCTAATTCTTTAAGAATTATTCTTATACGTGATTGATTTTACTCAATCTGTGTGTGCCTGCTGTGTGAGGAGGCCAGTAGACTGCTCTGGAGGCTCTAGAGTTAGGTTACTGATGGTTGGGACACCATATAAGTGCTGGGACTTTGTTCCTCTGCAATATCAGCAAATGCTCTTAATCACTGAGCCATCCTCTAGCCCCATGTTCCCTATTGGTTATGGCATTTTAGCTTACAGAAATTCTGTGACCTCAGCTAAATAGAAATTTTAAAGGACAGTAGTGTTCAGCCACTTTCTTTTTTTCCCTTTTTCTTTCTTGGTTTTGTTTTGTTTTTTGGGACACGGTTTCTCTGTATAGCTTTGTTAGAGCAGGCTGACCTCGAACTCACAGAGATCTGCCTTCCTCTGTCTCCCGAGTGCTGGTATTAAAGGCGCTGGCCTCTTTTTTTTTTTTTTTAATTTATTCTTCTATACAATACGTCCTGATCACAGCCTCCCCTCAATTCACTCCTTCCTCCCCCTCCCCCACCTCCCTTCTCCCTCAGATCCACTCCTCCTGCAGGGATATCAACCAAACGTAGCATTACAAGATGCAATAAGACTAGGCACAAACGTTTATATCAGGGCTGTACTGGTCAACCCAGTAGGAGGAAAAGGGTTCCAAGAGCAGGCAAAAGAGTCAGAGACACCCCACTCCCACTGTTAGGAGTCACACAAAAGCCCCAAGACGCACAACCACGTCATGTATGCAGAAGACAGACCTAGGGCAGATTCATGCATGTTCCACGATTGCTGCTTCTCTGTAAGCTCCTGAGTGAGCCCTGCTTAGTTGATTTGGTGGGTTGTGTTCTACTGGTATCCTCCGTCCTCTCTGACTCCTACAGTTTTCCTCTGCTTTTCTGCAGGGTTCCCCAAGCTCAGAGGGGAGGGACACAAATGGAGACCTCCATTTTAGACTCTGTTTCTCTCCTTGTAATGTCAGCCTGTGGGTCTCTGCACCCGCTGCCACACGCGGCCATAGAAGCCTCTCTGATGACACCTGGACAAGGCACCCATCTTTGAGTATAGTAGAATATCATTAGGAATCATTGATTTTTTGTTGTTGTTGTGTTTCTTCTATCAGTCATGTTGAAATATCCAGTCTCCTGCCCCTGGCCATGCAGAGCATGGGCTCCCTCTGGTGGTGTGGGCCTCAGGCTAAACCAGACACTAATTG